ATAGAATAGAATAGAATAAGAAAGGAATAGAATAGAATAGAACAGAATAGAATAGAAAAGAATAAGAAAGGAATAGAATAGAATAAGAAAGGAAAGGAATAGAATAAAATAGAATAGAATAGAATTCTTTATTGGCCAAGTGTGATTGGACACACAAGGAATTTGTCTTTGGTGCATAAACTCTCAGATTATATAAAAAAATTCATCAAAAATCATAAGACACAACACTTAGTGATAGTCATAGATACTAAATAAGCAATCAAAAATCATACTAGGAAACTAAATAAAACAATATAATCATAAAGATACAAGCAACAAAGTTATAGTCATAAGTGGGAAGAGATAGGTAATAGGAAGGATGAGAAGAAGTATACTAATACAGTCTTAGTAAATAGTTGGACAGCGCTGTAGGAATTAGTTGTTTAGCAGAGTGATGGCATGTGGATTAACATCCTAAATCTCCTTATATTCTGCCTTCTATGCTTTTAATATTTTTAAAATTAGTCCTTGACTTACAATAGTTCATTTAGTGACTGTTCAAAGTTACAACGGCACTAAAAAAAATGACGTTTGACAGTTTTTTTGGCATCTCCATGATCACGTGGCCAAAATTCAGATGCATGGCAACTGACTCATATTTATGACAGTTGCATCGTCCCGGGGTCATGTGATTCCATTTCTGTGACCATTTGTGACAAGCAGTCAATAGGGAAGCCAGATTCATTTAAACACCGTGTTACTAACTTAAGAACCAGAGGGATTCACTTAATAAGTATGCCAAAATTCACTTAACAAGGGTCTTGCTTAACAACCAAAATTTGGGGCTCAGTTGAGATCGTAAATTGAGGACTTTCTGTAAATCAATCCTGACTGAAGTATTTTAGCCATCTTGAGGAAAGGCTAAATTTCCTGACTCTCATTAATTGCCATGGTAAAGAAAGGTTGTAAAACGAGGCACAACTCACTTAACAACTATCTCACGCAGCAACAGAAATTTTGGGCTCAGTTGTAGTGGTAAGATGAGGACTACCTATATTGTACACTGCCCAGGGTTCTTTTATAAAAGAGATGAGAGATTCTTAATTATGAACAAACAAATGAATAAATAAGAGGAAAGTGGGATGCAACCAAACTAATTCAATAAAATTCAAGTTAAACCTTTCAGGAATAAGATCCTTTTTCTCTCCAATCCTCCTTTTCCTCACAGCGCATAGTGAAAAATATTCCTAAAATTATATCAGCAGAACTTCATTGGTCCAAGGCTGTTTTTCTACAATCTATTTCCAGAGAATATTTCAGCCCAGAAACATTAAGAAAAATCAGTGCTGCTGAACTATGTGTGTGTGTGAAGTAGCTTTTGCATTGCCAGTGAGAATAATTGCCTTTTACCCATCATGTGAAATTACTGTGTGTGGCTTCTGGGTCATAGGACATGGCCTTCCCTTCAGGCCTTCGTTAATTTTAGAAAATCAATGTAAACAAACCAGACAGAAACATTCTACTGAAATTAAAACAAAAACAAAAACCCTCCAGCTTTGTCACAGAAGCACGCAGACCCAGAATAATCTGCAGAACAATCTCTGTGTGTCGCTTGGAGGAAATTACAGGTAGTCCTTGACTTCTGACTGTTTGTTTAGCAATGGTTCAAAGTTACAATGGCCTCAGAAACAAAAGCTGATGATGTATTCTTGAAGTTATGACTGTTGCATCACCCGTGCAAACGTGTTGCGTGAATAGAGGGATTCAATCGAGATCAAGGGGAGGTACTAATACCACTCTATAAAGCCTTAGTAAAACCACACCTAGAGTACTACACCCTGTTTTGGTCACCACACTATAAAAAAGATGTTGAGACTCTAGAAAGAGTGCAGAGAAGAGCAACCAGGATGATTAGGGGACTGGAGGCTAAAACATACAATGAATGGTTGCAGGAACTGGGCATGGCTAGTCTAGTGAAGAGAAGGACCACCCCTCAAATGTCCCCCTAGACCCGTGATGGCGAACATATGGCACGCGTGCCACAGGTAGCACACAGAGCCATTTGTGTTGGCATGCAAACTGCAGGCAAACTTACCTCACTGCACATGTGCGCACCTCACAGCTGATTTGCAGCTGGTTTGAGGCCTTTTTCGGCCTTCCAAAGGCTTCAGGAAGGCTTCTGCAGGCTTTGCAGGTTGAAAACTAGCCCCGTTTAATCACTTCCTGTTTTTCCAAAAATACCAGAAGTGACAAAACGGGGCTAGATTTTGGCCTACAAAGCTTGCAGAAGCCTGCAGAAGTCTTCCTCAAGCCTTTGAGAGGCCGAAAAAGGCCTCAAACTGCCCAAAAATCAGCTGTGAGGTGCAGTGCAGGTAAGGGGGCGGTGGGATAGGGATTGTGTGTGCATGCGTAGGGGATGTGGGGGGGCGTGCATTGCCTTCTTGGTGCTGGCACGCGAGAGCGAGCGTGTAAGCGCATGCACAATTTTTGGCACAGAAGCCCAAAAACGTTAGCCACTAGTGCCCTAGACTCAGCACGTACACACTTCCACACCCTATAAAACAATCTCTCTCCATACCCGTGATGGCGAACCTATGGCATGCATGCCAGAAGTGGCACGCAGAGCCCTCTCAGTGGGCACGTGTGCCATCCCCAGCTGCTCTTCAGGTTTCTGGCATGCACATGTGCGCTGACCAGCTAGTCTCCAAAAACAGATCATTTTTCTGGGCTGTTTTCAGGCCTGTTTTCCAGGCTGTTTTCCAAGCATTTCCGGGGTGCTTTTAGGCCCTCTTTTGGGCCATTTTCAGGCTGTTTTTGGCTGGACAAATGGCCTGAAAAATGCCCCCAAACAGACTGCTCCTTGGGCCATTTTCCGGGCATTTTCTGGGGTGTTTTTAGGCCATCTTTTGGGCCGTTTTCAGGCTCTTTTTGCTCTGAAAAATGGCCAGAAAACGGCCTGGAAAACGCCCCCAAAACGGCCTGAAAATGGCCCCAAAACAGACTGAAAATGGCCCAAAACGGTCCCCCAAAATGGCCAAAAAACAGGCATGCGCACACTGGCTAGCTAGTCTTCGGTTTTCTGGTGCTCTGGCATACGCAAATGCACAGGGATGCAAGCGCTTTCCGTTTGGGCACTCGATGTTGAAAAGGTTCTCCATCACAGTTCTATACCCCATTTTCTCTGTAGCTGACCAACGCTTTACCCCCATGGTGCACAAGGAGGCGGGAGAAGGCAGTACTCACATCAAAGGCTCCCATGATCTAGGCTTAATGAAGATTGCAATAGGGTACAGTTGCGCAACTTGAAGTCGTTTAATTGCGTTTCCTGATACATCAAGGATACAGTGCTTGCCCTGGTGACGGGAAAGGAGGAAAGGTTTACTTTTGAGGTGGCATTTAAAGGACAAAATAAATAAATTAAGATCAAGCTCACAAGAGTGGATCAATTTCAAAATTAGCAAGCTATAGGCCCCTATAAAATCACAGCTGCGGTATAAGGATGGTATACGATTTGGAAGTCTTCTAGTGACAGCTTTGAGGACTTCAACTCCCAGAATTCCCCCTCCAGTCATGTTAGCTCAGGAATTCTGGGAGTTGAAGTCCACAAGTCTTAAACTTTCCAAGTTTTGAAGACCCTTGTTCTATTGCAACCCCTGCTCAAGGCAGGAGATCTGAAACCATCCTTGTCAAATGGTTGTCCTATCTTTTCTTCAAAACCTCCAACGACGGAGCATGCACAACTCTGGGAGGCATCGATGAATTGTTCTGTCAGAAAAATTCTCCTCACTAACTGCCTGTAGAGATTCTCAGTCCTCCAGGTCATAGTTGTCCCAAAGGTGCTTTTTTTTCAGGAGGCAACTGGACTTTTTGGGTTTTTTTTTCTTTCGAAGACGTTTTGCTTCTCATCCCAGAAGCTTCTTCACTATCCTGTCAGAAGCTTCTTGGATGAGAAGCGAAATGTCTTCAAAAGAAGAAAAAAAACATGGAAGTCCAGTTGCCTCCTGAAAAAACACCTTTGGGCCTCCTCACTAACTTTCTAACATTTTCCAAACACACACAGCCCACCCTCCCCTTGCAAAGTGGCTCAGAAAAATGACCAAAAAGGCTCTGAATTCAAGTGTTGGCAAAAGGAAGGGTTTGCTTTTGTTTACATGGGTTAGCACCTTCCTGGGTCCTTCACATACCTATAGGTTGACTACAAGACCCATCCTATTGCGTTTCCAACTCTAATTGCTTATTTTAATATTAGCCCTATTGTTCAATCAAAAATAACCTGCCTTTCACATCTTCCTTATCATCCCTGTATAACTTCTAACTTTAGGGGAAAGTTAATTGTAGCTGAGGTTGAGATGAGAGGGCCTTTGGCGCTCTCTGACTTTGGTTGACTTTTTGCACATTACCAAATTAGATAACATCATCAGGGCTAGTGCTCTAGCACTGATCAGGTTACCAACTTTGGGTAATGAAACCTGTGCAAAAAGAAAAAAACCAACAACCAACAACCAAGCTCAGAGAGTACCAGGGATCCCTCATCTTAACCCTGAGCTACAAAATATTCTCCTTATTGAAAATATTTAAACCTGTGCGGGAAAAGCTCCTTGCGATTCCGTACAAGTTTTTTTTTTCTTCTTCTCCTTCTGAGGCTTCTGTTTTTCTGCCTCATTTTCAGGGAGTTTGAGAAGGTCTTTGAGGCAATGACTGAAGCTGATTTTAGGATTTGAGGGTGGAGACAGGGAGCAGGAAGCAATGGTGGCATTCTACCGGTTCAGACCAGTTCGACCGAACTGATAGTAAAAAAAAAATCTACTGGTTTGGCCGAACTGCTTTTTCCGATGATCAGCTGGGCTATAATGAGCTGTGCTACGCAATTTAGATTAGCTAGAAAGGAAGAAATTGTAGGATTTCTTGCTTTCTAGCTAATCTAATCACGTGGCACAGATGATTTCCCTCCCTTGCTTCAAAATGCTGCTTTTTTCAGTTACCAAGAAACTTCCCTGAGGCCCACTAGGCAAAAAAACGGGGTGCGGGGTTGTGTGCTGTACATGTCCCCTTGTTTTTGCTCAAAGGAGGCTTATCTCTGAGGTCCACTAGTCAAGAAGGTTGGGAATATTGCTTGCGGATACCTTCCTATCAACTCTATAGTTTCCCTGGCTGCTTATTATTTCTGATTATCCTTTCAATGGGAAGAAACTAAGAAAACTGGTCATTTGTTGTTGATGTTTTCTTTTGTGACCGGATGGAGAGGATTCACATGTCCTGGGAGACATTCATGTAATGAAAAGATAATTCGCCCCCCTTCGTAATTAAGATAAGTGCAGGGAAACCCAGTCACTAGAATTTTATTTAATTTTTCTTCTCCTTAGTGAGGATTTGTTCTTGAATAAGAATAGTTGGGGTGAAAATATAGAAGAAATTTTTGGCCCCATGTTAATAACCACTCAACCAATAATCTTGCTGTTGAATACAGTGTGTTATTTGCCTTGTTCCGGGTAGTCCTTGGCTTACAACAGTTCATTTAGTGACCGTTTGAAGTTACAACGGCATTGAAAAAAGTGATATATGACCGTTTTTCACACTTATGACTGTGGCAGTATCCCCATGATTTCCATTTGGATGCTTGACAACTGATGCATATTTATGACGGTCGCGGGGTTATTTGATCCCCTTTAGCGGCCTTCTGACAAGCAAAGTCAATGGGGAAGCCAGATTCACTTAACAACTGTAAACTAGTAACCGTGTTACTAATTTAACAATGACAGAGATTCCCTTAATAAAGGTGTCTAGGAAAGTCATTAAAGGGGGCAAAACTCACTTAACCAATTTTCCACTTAGCAATGTAATTTCTGGCCTCAGTTGTGGTCATATATCGAGGACTACCTTTGTTACATATGATTTTCTCAGCTGGCTTTTGACAAGCAAGATTGACAGGAGAAAACAGATTCGCTTGATAACTTGTGTGATTCCCTTAACAACTAGAGCGATTTGCTTAACAGCCGTGGCAAAAAAGTTGTAAAACTGGGCATTTCACAACCCCCGAGCTTAGCAACAGAAATTCCGATTCCAGTTGTAATCATAAGTCAAGATCTACCTGTATACGAAAATTATTTTATAATTACAAAATAATAATAAGATCATTCATCATTTACGGTAGCAATGGCAATAGCACCTAGACTTATATACTGCTTCACAGTGTTTTCCAACCCTCTATAAATGGTTTACAGAGTCAGCGTGTTGCCTCCCAATAATCTGGCTCCTAATTTTACCGGCCTTGGAAAGACGGAAGGCTGAGTCAACCTTGAGCCGGTCAGGATCAAACTCCTGGCACTGGGCTGAATTAACCCGCCATACTGCATTCTAACCACTGTGCCACCATGGCTCGCTCCTTCCTTCCTTCCTTCCTTCCTTCCTTCCTTCCTTCCTTCCTTCCTTCCTTCCTTCCTTCCTTCCTTCCTTCCCAATAACACCTAGACTTATATACCGCTTCATAGTCCTCTCTAAGCTGTTTTACAGAATCAGCATACCGCCCCCAACAATCTGGGTCCTCATTTAACTAACCTCAGAAGGATGGAAGGCTGAGTCAACCTTGAGCCTGGTGAGATTCGAACTGTCAAATCACAGGCAGTCGGCAGTCAGCAGAATTAGCTGCAGTACCGCAGTCCAACCACTGTGCCACCATGGCTCTTTTTATTAGGAATTGTACAGACAGCTTTTCTGTGTAAACTGGTCCGCGGCTTTTCCCAAATTAAAGAAATCCAGACTTACAACTACATTTAATACATTTCAATATGATATATAGTACATTTTGCATTTGTACCATCTGGGTCATTTACCCTTTCGGCTACAAATCGCACAGACTGCACGCTTGTTCCATACAGATTATCGTTGTATTGGCCAGCTTCGATGAATTTGTGCTCTTGAATGTCCTTTTCCATTTGTTCTCTGGAGATGACGAAGTGGTAATCTCTACCATCCACTTCATAATCGCGCTTCGGTCGAGTGGTATCTTGGGAGTAACAAAAAAAAAAAACGAAAGACGTTTTGCTAAACGAACCAAGACCCTTTATATTTACTTTGTCTGAAATATAGAAAGACTGAATAACAGAATTGGAAGGGACCTTAGAGGTCTTCTAGTCCAACCCCCTTCTCAAGCAGAAAACCCACACCACTTCAGAGAAATGGTTGTCCAATCTCTTCTTAAAAACTTCCAGTGTTCAAGCATTTACAACTTCTGGAGGCAAGTTGTTCCACTGATTAATTATTCTCAGCATCAGGAAATTTCTCCTTAGTTCTAGGTTGCTTCTCTCCTTAATTAGTTTCCATCCATTGCTTCTTGTCGTGCCTTCAGGCGCTTTGGAGAATAGTTTGACTCCCTCTTCTTTTGTGGAACCTCCCTGAGATATTGGAAGACTTTTATCATGTCAACCCTAGTCCTTCTTTTCATGAAACTAGACGTACCGAATTCCTGCAACCATTCTTCATATGTTTTAGCCTCCAGCCTCCTTATCCTTTTTTGTTGCCCTTCTCTGCACTCTTTCTAGAGTCTCAATACCTTGTTTATATCATGATGACCAAACCTGGATACAATATTCCAAGTGCGGTCTTAGCCAGGACTTATAAAATGGTACTCAAGCAAAACAGTTCCGGACATCATAGGTGGTCCTCGTCTTACGACCATTTGTTTAACAGCTGTTCAAAAGTAGGAAGGCTTCCCAAAATGTGATTTATGAGCAGTCCCCAAATTTATAATCGTTGCACCACCCTTCCGGTCATGTGACTGCTGTTGAGGGGCTTGGCATCCAGCTCTCATTTACAGCCAGTTGCAAATTTCCTGTGTTCAGATGATTCCAATTTGCAACCTACCCAGCCTGTGTCCAACAAGCGAGGTTGATTGTGGAAGCCAAGTTTCCTTAACAACCACATAATTTGCTCAATGTCACAGGTTAAAAAAAAAAGATCATAAAATCGGATCTGGTTACAGGATGATTTGCAGAACCACTACAATGCTCAGCAACGGAAATTACTGGCCTAACTGTGGTCGTAAGTCGAGGACTACTTGTCCTTAATGGTAAACATTAAGTGGAGCATTGGGATTTGCAAAGGAAACCACCAAGTTCTAGCATCAACCATTTTTCCAAGGTTGCTTTCTAACCTCAAATGATTCTTAGAAAATGAAAACAGGGAAGAATTACAGCCCAAAGTCTTACAGACAAATGGTTATCCTATCTCTTCTTAAAAATTTCCATTGTTGGAGCATTCACAACTCATTCAGTGGATGTGGAAACATCTCTAATTTACCTCCTGCTAAAAGGGTATATTATGATTGAGATTGGGCAGCCATTTTGTTTCTTTCATGGCAGCCATTTTGAATGCCCAAGACATTCTCAGATGAGACTACTGTTGAAAAGAGGATGAGGGCCCATTAGCATAAAATGGGACACATTAGCATAAAATAAACCCAGCTGTTAATTTTACAAGTGTTCCAGAAAGAGGACAAAGTCAGGCCTCCAAAACCAAGAAAGACACTCTGAGTTTCTTCTAAGCAGTTTCTCCTTGATTGTTTTTCATCTATAGACAGAATCTTGCCAAACTAAAGCAATTAGTGGCAAGATATACAAGCAGTCCTCTACATTTAGTGACCGTTCAAAGTTACAACGGCACTGAAAAAGTGACTGATGGCTGTTTTTCACACTTATGACCATTGCAACATCCCCATGGTCATGTGAGCAAAATTCAGACCCTTGGCAACTGGTTCATATTTATGATGATTTGCAATGATGTGATCCCCTTTTGCAACCTTCTGACAAGCAAAGTCAATGGGGAAGCCAGATTCACTTAACAAACAAGATACCAACTTAACAACTGCAGTGATTCACTTAGCAACTGTGGCAATTCAGGTTGTAAAATGGAACAAAATTGACTTAACAGCTGTCTCATTAGCCATAGAAATGTTGAGTTCAGTTGTGGTCATAAGTCAAGGACCACCTGTATTTTGAGAAGTTCTATGGAGGAGCTACTGTGGCCTTCTTTTACCCAACCAAACTATCTCAACTTTGCTGACTCTTGCTCCTCTGGAATGCAGCCCCTCCCTGCTGGGAATCCAGGCCACATTCCACCACAGATCACAACAAGTTAGCATGTCGCACCTCATTTTAGCCAGCAAATAATGGATTCACAGAGATGCCTCCTGATATACAATACTTACGTGGGACGCAGGAGCCAAATTTGTCAGGGAACTCAGATATCAAATCATCATTTATCCGATCTTTCATTGGGCCAAGGATAATAACTGGCCTGGTGTAATTAACTGAAATGCAGAAAGAAAAGAAGATGGTTAAGGTAGCTTTGTAACAAGCACTGGTGATGGGTTGATACCTAAAAGGAAACATGATGGTGCAATGGTTAGAATGCAATACTGCAGGTAAACTCTGCCCATAGCCAGGAGTTCGATCCTGACCATCTCAAGGTTGACTCAGCCTTCCACCCTTCCAAGATCAGTGAAGTGAGGACCCAGATTGTTGGGGGCAATAGGCTGACTCTGTAAACCACTCAGAGAGCACTATGGAGAACAGTATATAAGCCTACGTTCTATTGCTATTGCTAAAATTTAATCTTAGAGAGATCTCGATTGCATGCAATCAACTTGGATGATGCATTTAGGTTTAGCAAATGGAACGAAGGACAGATAACATTTCCTAAATGCAAAACAGGGACTTTCATGAGATGCAACTCAACATGCCTCATTAAAAGGCTTATCGGAATGTTTCTACACGGAATTGTTCTCCAGAAGATGTAACGGTCATTATTTTTCCTAATAATCTGGAGTTTTTTTTTTTCCTTGGGAAACCAATTCTGAACTGTGCAATCATGAAATTCAGCAAGGTCCTTCTTACAATATAAAAGACATCGGGCAAATTTGTTTGTTTGTTTTTTAAATGTCCTCTTTCATTACATTCTTTGAATGGGATGGAAGACACCAGCTACATATACGTATTTTGTAGAACTTGTCCTAAGGAAATGTGGACGGATTTCACATCTTAGATTGGGGCTATACGTAAAATACAACGAAGCAGAAAAATATGTATTGAGGAATTGCAAGCGCACAGACCAGATCATAGACGACATCATGATTTCAAATGTTGCAACTGATTGCACTTGATATTACGTGGTTTAAATATTTATTAAAATGACTAACAAATTGGAATATTAAAAGTTGGCAACAAGCCTTTTGTACCACCGTCGGCCACTCAGTTAGGAATGACTGTATTACTTTAGGTGGCAGGATATTAAATCGTTGCTATCTCTGAATTGCAAGGATTGATTGCACAGTATGGCTTTAGGGTTCCACTTCCTTCTTTTTCTCATGCATGGATTTTGGCAAAGGATTTGCTTGCAGAAAGCAAATAACAACAACAACAACAACAACAACAACAACAACAACAACAACAATGCAAGAGGAACCAGAATAAACCCAAAGTGATCTAGAACCACTCCTTCTTCCCCGATAGACTTGTGGGTGTTTTAAGTGGGAACTAAATATTTTTGAAAAGGTAATCCCTGTAATCTACAATACAACATACTATCTTTGAAATAATAGAAAATATTGGTCACTCAGGTTTTAGATTTTGGCAGTGGTTTCTTCTCCAAGCTTGTCTCAATTTAGCTTCTGAACGTTTCATTACCAAACTAAGTAACATCATCAGGTGGATTTTCTTGTCCTGCTCTCCTTTGCTTATAAATGTCTTGTGTGCCAGTGTTATCATTTGGCCATTTGGTTGGTGGTTGGTTTATATTGCTTTCTAAATATAGCTCTAAACCAACCACCAATCAAATAACCAAATGACCACACTGGCACACAGGACATTTATAAGCTGAATAGAATAGGACAAGAAAATCCAATATCTCAGGGGCTGCCACAAAGAAGAGGGAGTCAAGCTATTCTCCAAAGCACCTGAAGGCAGGAAAAGAAGCAATGGATGGAAACTAATCCAAGAGAGAAGCAACCTAGAACTAAGGAGGAATTTCCTGACAGTGAGAACAATTAATCAGTGGAACGACTTGCCTCCAGAAGTTTTGAATGCTCCCAACACTGGAAGTTTCTAAGAAGAGACTGGATAACCCCTTAAGATTTAGGGGGTTAGACTAGAAGACCTCCAAGGTCCCTTCCAGTTCTGTTATTCTATTCTAGTCCTGCTGATGATGTTACTCAGGGGTGGGCTTCAAAAATCCCAGCAATGGGTTCTCTGCCTGATTGCTGGGTGGGCGAGGCCATGGTGGGTGTGACCTACTTTCAGGAGGGCCATTTTTCACCCTCCCAGGCTCCGGAGGCTTTCCTTAAGCCTCTGGGAGGGCGAAAACTGCCCCTCCCAGGCTCCGGAGGTGCTCCGACTTCTGGAATTTCCAGGAGGCCCATTTTTTACCCTCCCTGAGTTTCCCCGCGAGCCCTGCACTTATCTGCATCCAAGCAGGCCACGTGGAGAGTCTTAGGAGGGGTGGGATAGGGCAGGGTGGGAGAGGTGGGGTGGGAGGGGCCAGCCAGGGGTGGGATTTGGCGGTTCACTGAACTAGCCATAACTTTAGCAACAGGTCCGCCTGAACCTGGGTGAACCCGTAGCAGTCCACCCCTGAGGTTACCTTGTCTGGTGACAAAACTTTCAGAAACTTAATTGAAACAAGCTTGGAGAGCAAACCACTACCAAAAACAAAATACTATGACCCACTTTAGCTGCTCAAACAATTTAGGAGAAATACCTGAGCAAAATTGAAGTGAGCTAGCTAGACCCGTTCATTCTGCCGTGATAGATTTAGAGAGGGACAGTTTAGGTAGGAAGGACATATATATTTAAAAATTAGTGAACTCTACTAGCAGCCCAAGATTTTACTGTAAAAATAAGCTAGACATCGTTTAGACCGGGGGGGGGGGGGTCTCCAACCTTGGCAACTTTAAACCTTGGCGGACTTCAACTCCCAGAATTCCCCAGCCAGCTTTGCTTTGCTGGTTGGGAGCTTTGCTGGCTGGGGAATTCTGGGAGTTGAAGTCCGCCAAGGCTTAATGCCAAGGTTGGAGACCCCCTCGTTTAGACCAAACTGATGAAGGAACACATCCAAGCTTGTGACAAAAGTGCTTTTCCAAAAGGCAACTGGACTTTTGTGATGTTTTCCTCCTTGCAAAAGTTTCACTTCTCATCCAAGAAGTTTCTTCGGTTCTTCAAATGCTTCTTGGATGAGAAGCGAAATGTTTTCAAGGAAAAAACAATGGAAGAAAGTCCAATTGCCTTTTGGAAAAGTACTTTTGGGACAACCACGATGTCATGCCCCTGTTGGAGTCTGACTCTGAGGGAGAGATGGAACAGCTGACAGGGAGTGGGAGTGTGGCTCCGGTGGTTGTGGAGGAAACTGGGGAAGGGCACAGGCCGAATGGGCATTCAGAGGAAGACCCAGGCCCATCTCCTCTTCATCCTAGGGCATGAAGGGAGGAGAGGATAAGGGAGAAACATGAGTGGCATGGTCTACGGGGGAGGAAGGGGCCCTGATCCCCTTCATGGGCTGCAGTTGGGAGGACTGGTTAAAAGGAAGAACTGCGCATGGCAAGGCTGCTGGAAGCAAAGCATGCATTCTTGTCGGAGCTTATCTGTGTTTTGGCTTCCTCCCAACTGTGGCTGCTGCGTTATCAGGTAGAAGTCTGCAATTAATCATCCTTGCCTGCCTAGTAATTCCTTCAGTGTGGTTTGTGCTGGTTTTTTTTTTTTTTGAATTAACTTTACTTTGGGTGCGGATTGCATTTACTCCCTCCATAAACTGTTTTCTTTAAGAGTTTGATATCCTGCCGAGGATAATTGGGACATTGGGGCCAAGTTGGAGGCATTAAAGGGACTTTCTTCTATTTTTGTGACTTGGTTATTTTTGTGTCATGCCCTGGGTCATCACACATGATCTGAATGATTGACAATCTCCATAGACACCAAAGCTTGCTTACTTTCCTGCCGTGTAACCGGTTCATAGGAGAGAATGCAGTCCTCTTGTCCTCCTGACGAGAGAAGAAAAACAGAAAGAAAATCAGCATTGAGGCCCAGTGCTTCCAAAACTCTCCCCAATGTCACATTTACTTCCTTGAGTAGGCTTACATACAAGTTACTCCTAAATGCTTTCAAGCAATCTACCTCGGCTTAAAGTTTTAAGTTATCCTGTGATTTATCATTGCAAACTGAGTAGATACACAGGTGTCAGAAATGTCCTAAAGCAATGTTTTTTTCCCCAGTCTTGATGACCTTTAAGATGCGTGGACTTCAACTCCCGGCATGCTGGCTGGGGAATTCTGGGAGTTGAAATCCATGCATCTTAAAGACGTGAAGGTTGAGAAATACAGACTTAGTGGATGAGAATGCATTGAGAAGGAAGGAAGAGGTGGGTGCTTCAAGTTATAGATAATTCTCAACTCTGGAGATGCTCCAACACTGGAGGTTTTTAAGAAAAGACTGGACAACTGTCTGCCTGAAATGGTTTAGAGCCGTGATGGCGAACCTATGGCACACGTGCCACAGGTGGCACACAGAGCCATTTGTGTGGGCACGCAAGCCCCAGGCAAACTTACATCACTGCACTTGCGCGTACCTTCCAGCTGATTTTCAGGCCTTTTTTGGCCTGTCAGAGGCTTGAGGGAAGCCTCTGCAGGCCAAAAAATAGGCTCGTTTCATCACTTCATGTATTTCCGGAAATGCCTGAAGTGACGAAATGGGCCCATTTTTCAGCCTGCAAAGCCTGCAGAGGCTTCCCTCAAGCCTCTGGCAGGCTGAAAAAAAGCCTCAAATGGGCCAAAAATCAGCTGGGAGGCACAGTGCAGGTAAGGGGGCGGCAGGAGGGGAATAGTGTGCACATGCACAGGGGGCGTGGGGCCCCCGCGCAGATTTTCTTCTGGCACAGGAGCCCCAAAGGGTTAGCCAGCACTGGTATAGAGTTTCCTACTAGAGTAGGGGGTTGGACTAGAAGACCTCCAAGGTCCTTTCCAACTCTTATGATTTTAATGATTCTCAACTCTGGAGATGCTGTTTAGTTGTGGCAAGGAAGGAAGGATCCCCCCCTTCTATTGCACCAGTATAAATGAAATAGAAAACAAATGGTTAATTTCTTGAGTCGTTCTGTGACTCTTGAAGGACTCTTGAAATGTTATGCTTCAAAACTGCTCGGGCTTAAGAAGTTAGGCAGGGATGCTCCTGCTTCTGAAGCTCTAACATGGCACGGTAGTTGGCCTAAAAATTAAAATTGACTCTATTGTCTGTGCTCTGTCTCCAAAGTGCTTTTTCAAGAGACCACTGGACTTTCTAATTTTTCTTTGAAGACGTTTCGCTTCTCATCCAAGAAGCTTCTTCAACTCTTCAAAGAAAAACCATAAAATCCAGTCGGCCTCTTGGGAAAAAAAAAAACCACCATCTTTGGGACAACCATGGCCTGGACGACTGATAATCTCCCTGGACATGTCTGTGCTCTGATTCTCAAATCAGGACTACAGCATGACTACATCTGGAAAAAATCCATACTTTGGCTCGATAGATTAAAAGGGAAAGGGCGGGAGGGAAGCATGATTTGAACCTGGGGGAGACTCTACGCATCGATGGGACCGGATGCAGATACTTTGTGTTTAGAACTCATAAGCTGCATAGGTTGCCCTGAACTTACGACCATCACGGAGCCTGCCCATCGTGATTGTGAGTGGTGATGATGTTGTAAAACAGGCCACCAATATGGCCAATCTGATTTTTTTTTTTTTTGCATCAGTTGTTAAGGGACCACTTGTGGTCATTAAGCGAACATCACGGTCATTAACTAAATGCCAATTTGCGGAAAATACTTTGTCAAATAAGATCCTGAGACTGAGGGATACTAGAAACGACTGTAAATGGAGACAGCTGGCCAAGCATCTGATGAGGTCAGGTGAATACTTCATAAGAATACTTTAAAATCGTATGGCATTCTGTTTGATGGGAAGTACACGTAGTCCCCGACTTACGACAGTTCATTTAGTGGCCATTCAAAGTTACAACGGCACTGAAAAATGTGACTGATGACAGGTTTCTAATATTTAACACATTTAGTAGCATATTTAGCTGAGCAGGTGTGTCCGAATTTGTTCTTCCTACCAGAAATACCTTGTAATTATTGTACAGAGAGTTTCCCACTGGTTCAAACATGCCAAATTAATGGGGAAATCAGATTCCACAGATCTAGTTTGGTCTAGTGGTTAAAGGAATAGTCTAGCAAGACTGGGGGACTGGGAGTTCTAGTCCTGCCTTAGGCATGAAAACCAGCTGGGTGAACTTGGCCAATCACCAGGAGACTGTGAGTTCTAGTTCTGCCTTATGCATGAAAGTCAATTAGGTGAACTTGGCCAATCACCAGGAGAGTGTGAGTTCTAGTTCTGCCTTACGCATGAAAGCCAATTGGGTGAACT